TAATAATCATCATAAAATTATAATCATAATAAATTATAATTAAAACAATCATAATAATAATCATGTTAAAGCATAGCAAGATCCTAGACATGTTACTAACAAGATTAATAACAAACCCTAGCATGTCACTAAGCAATAAAAATCAAATCTTTAACCCTAACATGATACTATCAATCATAAATATTCGGAAGAGAATAGAAGGCATCATAGAAATCATAATTGATATTAAAGTTACCCTAGACATGATACTAGAAATCAAAATAACAATCTAAGCATGATTTCTACATCATAACATCAATAAAACCATTAAAGTACTTACTTTGATGCCTCGCACCTCTTTCTAATAACAAAATACACACGTTAGTAACTTCAAGGAAAATTATAAAATCAACAATTAAATTAAATAATTAAAAGAGAGATTTGGGACCAAACCCTCAGAAATTAAACCTTTCACGTCTAGGGCGAAGGCAACTTCAAATATGGCTAGGTGTATCTAAGTCTTTCGAATGCGGAATTTTGTATGTAAAAGGCTAGTTTAGAAAAAGAGAGAGAGAGAGAGAATAAGAATTGATGAGAATTGATGAATCAAAAATAGAGAGAATTGGTATTGATGAGAATTGATGGTTGTAGGTGAAAATTGGTTTTAGATGATTATAATTGAAAACTAGTTGTAGGTGAATGAAAACGAAGTTTTTACGATGTTATTTATAGAGAAAATCATCCAAAAAGATAAAATATCAAAACAGAGTTCTGGCGCACAGAAAACAGAACCAGCGCAAACGCTGGCTGTTGGCGCCAGGCGCCAATGCTAGCGCCATGCGCCAAGCGTAGCGTCAGGCGCTACAGCTGGCGTTTGGCGATGATTTCAGAAATTCACGCGTTTCCTAAAATCAGATAAAAATTACCGTACAGGAGGATAAAATCATATTTTTCCTCAAAAATGCTCTTTGATTTTAATTAAAACTCATCAAAGTTAACAAAAGTCAATTTATCAATGCTAATTGAATTAGGAATGAATAGAATCTTCTAGAAGAATCTAGAAGACTAAAACCATTCCTAATTGCATTAGGAATGATAAATCATATTAGGCCCTCCTCTAGATCATTGGGCCGCATATAAGGCTCAAACCGGGCCCAGTTTAGTAAATTGGCCATAACTTCCTCAATATTCATCGGAATTGGGCTTATAATATATCGTTGGAAAGCTCTTGTCAATTCCCATCCAACTACACTATTATTGGAGTCATATCATGGACCAACCAAAATGGATTGGCTGTTTTCTTAAAATAAGTTTTCAAAAACAGAGAGAAGAGAAAAGAAATTAAAACTATCCGCAGCACTAAACTTTCCACACTTTCACTTCATTCGATTATAATTCGACGTGAAAGGTACTCATCACTGGGTTTAGTTTTGGGAAGACACAATTGGGTGTCTACAGAAACTCTATCCAAAATTGACACTGTCTCACTATTTCGGCCATATCTTTTTATATACAAAATATTTTAATCTGATTCTTATTGGGTTGGAAAGTAGAATTAAAGAGATTTCCAACGACATATTATGTGCTTTATTTGGACTTCTGGATGAAAAGATACGATAAAAACAAAACCCGAAAAAACTGTTGTCCATCGAGTTTTATTTCGATTCGAATTCGGATTCTTTTCTTTATTTTTCGACTCTCTTTTTTCCTATAAATAGAGGTCATATCTCCCCTTTTTTAATCACCAACTCTTATCAAGAAATTCTTGATATATTCTCTCTCTCTCTTTTCTAAACCTACTCTTTTTCTTACAAAATTCCGCATTCACAAGACCTAGATACACTTAGCATTATTCGAAGTTGCCTTCGCCCTAGACGTGAAAGGTTTTAATTTTTGAGGGTTTGGTCCCAAATCTTTATTTCAATTATTTAATTTAATTGTTTTAATTATTATTTTCCTTGAAGTTACTAACGTGTGTATTTTGTTATTAGAAAGAGGTACGAGACATTCAAGTAAGTGCTTTAATGGTTTTTATTGATGTTATTATGTAGAAATCATGCTTAGGTTGTTATTATGATTCCTAATGTTATGTTAGGGCGTTTTGATCTTCCTAGTATCATGTTTAGGGTAGCTTTAATATCAAGTATGATTAAAAGTATGATGCCTTTTATGTTCTTCCTAATATTTATGATTATTAGTATCATGTTAGGGTTAAAGCTTTGATTTTTATTGTTTTGTGACATGCTAGGGTTTTTTTATTTATCTTGTTAGTATCATGCCTAGGATATTGCTATTAATATTATGCTTTAACATGATTATGATAATGATTATGATGATTATAATTGTTATGAAGATGATTTATGATTATAATTATGATTTTGATTATTTTGATGATTATTATTATGTATGATCACAGTGGGGTTCAAACTAGGGGTTATGCTTTAACTTGTTGGCGACTCTTTTGCTCTATCTTCTTTCCCTTTGGACGCCACCGTACTTTCGTGTATGATCACAGTGGGGTTCAAACTAGGGGTAATGCTTGAAATATTCCCTACACCAGCCCATCCGGAAGGCAGTATGATACAAGGAATTGTGTTCAAAGAGATTGGGAATTTCGTGGCAGAGTATGTTGCCATTGCCGAACCTATTGGGCTTCCATCTTCCCGACATGAAGGGAGACTTGATGGTCATGGAAAAATCGGGTCAAAAAGGATCTGGGCTGCTCGAGATCAAATCATGCAAACTCACCTATTTGTGCTTCATCATATTGCGGAGGTTCACCCATATTTAGAAGAGCACATGGATAGTTTGCGTGTTGAATATCCATCAAAAGGGGAAAGAGCACTCATGTAGTTGCATAATAAGATGTTTGTGAATTGGTTCCATGATCGTGTGATGCGTCAATTGGATGAGACTGTGTCTGATACAATAAAGTGGCTAGCTTATGGTCCAAAGGAAGATGTTCATTCATTTGAGGGATATGACATAAATGGGTACACATTTTGGACTGAGAGTCGGGATCAGAAATCCTCATCGACTCAAAATAGTATTATAGATAATAAGAAATTTGGTAAATCGTGCAATTGACTGGTGGTGTGCTATGCATGGGATCGACAAGAAAACCAGCAAGTATGTCATGCGTCCGGATAAGAAAGTAGTAGCAGATGCACTTGTAAGCAAACTTTACTACTTATTAATTATATTTTCTTGTCAAGTTCATCTTACTTAGATCCGATAACTTTTTGTGTTGTTACAACTAGAGCATACTTCGGAAGTGATTGAAGGCAAGTTGACTCCAAGCATCGAAAATGATCCTTTCACCTTAGCTTTGGGAAAACCATACCAACCTGGGCGAGTAATTGGTTTTGGCGGGAAACAACTAGGGTGGGAGAAGGTGATGGGTTCAGAATACACCAAATCAGGAAAAAGCAGATCCAGTGTTAATTCGCCACATTGTATTGATGAGAAGGAAAAGGAATCAATAAAAGGCGGAGATACACGCGGAGCTGCAAGAACAGATGCAAAGTCAATTCAATGCCATTCTGAAGCACATGAACTTGCCGCTTTTTCCATTTCCCTCGAGTACCCCATTAGACTCATGTAGTCACCCAGGAGGCCCCGAGGACGATCTAGTATTTGAGAGAGAGGTAATTTTAGTACAAGGACAAATTACGTCATATGAAGTTCGTCAAACGAGGTCTTTTGCATGCTTAATTATTTTACTTTTTCAGGATCCTAGTCCTATGGATGCAGAGTCATTGAAGAGAGCAAATCCGATGCCTTAACCTTTCCCAGAAGTTAAGGTAAACTTCACTACGTAATCAAATTTTCTTATGTTAGGCTTTCGTTTGTTATTTCATAACTTATGTCCTAACTCCTAATCAAATATGTAGGAAGAGACGCCTTGTGAGCTTCTTCACCCCGGGGAAAAAAATGATGGACAATTGCAGTTGGTAGGGTATGGTAGTGCACAACCTTTTGACAAGGTCCATTTTAAGTATAATACTAGCACCCACTACATCTCGGTCGGGATTGATTCTATAGTTGCTGGGTTTGAGGACTTACCACTACCGGTGCCTAGAGTGGAATATGATTTTTTAAAGTTGCGTGACGCGATCGGTAGCTTTGTGCAATGGCCACGTGATCGGTTGAGGTTGGTAGGAGGGGTAAGTAAACACTACTTGTATGTAACTATTTGTATGTAACTAGATTAACATGTGCTTTGTGCAATGAACATGTTCTTTTATGTTACTAGATTACTATGGAAAATCAGTCCACTAAAAGGAAGAAGGTGGAGAAGCCAAAATCCAAGGAAGAAGGTACTCCGAACATGGAACAAGACAAGTGTCGAAGAAGAGTTCGAAAGCTTCTTGTACTCCACTGGTAGAAGCCGATGTCCTTAAGTCGCTTTCAAAGCATGTACTTTTCTTCACAACCGTGTTAGTGAGTTGCCTATGGGTACACATATTCAAGTGAACTTGCCTAAGGCATTGTTCCACTATGATGAGGATGCGATCGCATACATTTCTAGAGAGGATGTGACGAAATTTCTAACCGGTTCCATGCTTAACATTTCCATCATTAAGACTTTCATGAGGTAAATTAACGAGACTATTTCTAAACATATTGTATTTTTGATATTTTCGTACCAAAACAATGCAAATAGTAATTACTTGCACACACTACTTTCTTGAAGGTCACTACAGGAGCTCCTAAGTAGTAAACCCGATGGTGAAGCAGCAGTTGGGTAGTTATGCCCCGAGCAGACCTCCGTAACCAAATTCTTGCATAACCCTCGTGATGTCACTACTACATTTTTTATCTAATGCAACGTAAAAAAAAGAGCTGATGCAACGCCTCTCCTAAAAACCGTTGCAATAGGTAGGCTAATACGACAATTCTATTTATGTTATATCTAATGCCATAGTTCATTATATGCCGTTGCATTAGATTAGCCTAATACAACATCACCAAAAGCTATCACAACGGCATTGGTTGATGCAATGACCCAAAAAAGCTAACACAACGGCTAAAAAAAACTTTACTCTTCGTATTATTTACCCAAATATTCGAAATTCAAAATGAGTGATCAGTCAGACGATTGACCACACATTGACACATATTGAAGCACCCCCTCTTTCACATCTCTATTGTTAAAGTTAAAATAAGAATATGAAATAGATCTCCAAATTACCCATCTTCTAGAGAATGTAGATTTTGAGAGAAAATCCAAATTAACTTCCTAACTTTCATTACAAAAATAATATTGGAGAAGTAGAAATTCATGGTTTTTTTTTCTTTTCTCGATCGTTTTTCAGTTCAAAGGGTTAGTGTTTATTATAAATTATGGGTTTGAGTTATACTAGTTCAAATTTCGTTAGATATACACTTATGATCCCCGACAATCTGACTGTCTTCCTCCAAAAATCACCCAGCCAAAAGTGTGTGGTCACGTCAAATCGAGAGATACCATCGTTGCTTCAGCAACAACTTAAAACCTTAGAATTTGAACACTCTCGCAATTCGTCCAACTACGATGCTCATGTTCAGGTATAATAGATTATAAAACATACTTTAGTTTTAAATATCTCTGATGTTTTGGTAATTTTGGAAGGTGATTAATTTATATTGGACTTGCTATTGTTTTTGTAGTAAATAAAATTGCTTAGGAAAATTGGGGAGATTGATACACTCAAGCGAAGAGATTTGATGAGTGTTCTCCCTTAATACCCACAAATGTGGCAAGAGTGGGCTAAATATGAAACTACTTTGTCTTCTGGGTATTGAACCTTTGATCCTTTCTTGTTAATCTTGTTTAATTTATCAGAAATTATTATAATCACATTTCTAAATTGGGTATTTTTATTTGTAAGATTTGAATTTTGAAATGGTAATTATTACAATTTTGGAGTTACTTTGAGCTAATAATTTTGATTTTAGAAATGTGATTAATTGATTTTTGTTTAATTGTGTGTAATTCTGATTTTGGAAGACAATTAAATGATTATCACTACTTTTGAAGTAATTTTGAGTGTATACATCTGATTAGAGATTAATGATTTATTTGTTTTTTCATTATTGGAGTGACTTTAAGAAGTGTATAATTATGATTTTGATAGGTTGAGTATATATATTGGTGCATCTATATAGTTGTTTGAATGCAGAATTTTAACGTTTGATTGACATTTAAAATAAGAAGTGAATTGGTATGTAATTTCTAAATATAAGGGTCTCATCTTCTAGCAAAAATGCTAGAATGCTTGGAACTTGGTAGTGGCTAAGTGATCAAAGGTACACTGGAAGGCTGGGATATGTCGATTTCATGACCTCACTCGAGTAAATATGCACTATTTAATATTATTTACTCTTCTACAAATAACAAAATTGATTAGTATTCCAAATATTTGACTGAGAAATCCACTTTACAGTTTTAGACTATGATATATATATTTAAAGAAGGCATTTGGAGATCTTACAAATTGCAGAGACTATCTTTAGCTCCCTACACTCTATTGTCCATCTATCTTTACTTAGGGTGATTCCTGTCACAGTGTCACCTAACAAGCTTATTAGATGAAACTTCGTTGGATTTTTACTCAAGTAATATGAACATGTCTACAAAGTCGATGAGTTTATAATATAAAGAAATTTTCTCATTATGTAGTTGTTAACAAGCCACCCATCTTTCCAACAATTGGGGGATTTGTGATAGCTGAGACTGATGTTGTGCAATAGTTGAAGTCATTTAAGGTTCTTGTATATGTTCAAACCTTCACAAATGAATTTGTCAGCCTAGCATATGACTTTCAAGACTGATTAATTATGTCACGGAAGATGGAGTTGATGGCATCATTTAGACTTTACAAAAACATCAGTTAATTATATAAGAGTAATATTTGACTTTATCTTTAGACTTTTAAATTTGTTATTGTTACTTTGCTTTCCTAAGAACTCCAATAATTCATTTTCCCATGGGTTATCCTTTTATAAGAAACTAGATTCTTCTTTACTATAGTTAAGTAAAGAACATCATTATCCATATTGGGTCTTCTGACATATATTGATTATTCATGCTAATTTCATTTCTATGTGAGGTATAATATGGGATTCTTTATCCCCTTTGCAGGAAACCCGTCTAAAGTTGAAAATTGCCTCAGCATACATTTCAGCCTGGTCAACTCAAGCTATCAGATGGAGCTCAGAGGCCTTTATCAGAATGAAGCCTTGAAAACAGAATGCCTAATTTGATCATATGAGCATGGTGGTGCATACATCATAGCAAGACTTAATGGGATAAAACACTCAATGATTTAATTTTGATATTTTTTTTCTTAGTTTAATTAGTGACAGTTAATTGTGTAATTTTCTCTAAGGGTAACAATGTACAATTCTTCAATTTATATTGACAAAATTCTAATTAAATTGTCTTAATGATGATGATGATGATGATGATGATTATTATTATTATTATTATTATTATTATTATTATTATTATTATTATTATTATTATTATTATTATATTTATTTATTTATTTATTTATTTATTTATTTATTATTATTATTATATTTATTTATTATTATTATATTTATTTATTATTATTATTATTATTTATTATTATTATTATCATTCTTATTAGTATTATTTATTAAATTATTTATTTTTTATGGCCGTTGCATTAGCAATTTGGCCGTTGTGTTAGGTATATATGACCATCGCATTAGCTAAGTGAAGCTAATACAACGGCTGTAAGGGTGTCGTCGCAATAGATGTATAGCTAATGCAAAGGCTACAAGTTTATCGTTGCGTTAGATCATTTTACCGTGGCATTAGGCCTATTGCAACGCCAGCAAACGCCACGGTACATGTCCGTTGCATTAGGTCTAACACAATGGTTTTTGGCACCTAATGCAACGGATTTAGGGGTTGCAATAGATCAAAAATGTAGTAGTGTGATAGATTACCTTGAGCGGGGTATTAAAGAATCAATGCGTGCGGGAAATAAGTTCATATTAGCCCCTTGCTTTGAGGAGTAAGTTTAAATATGTCACTCTTAAGTTGTTTGTTAAGTATAGATGTTGACGTATAACAATTGATGGATTGATATTTGCTTAAATATATATGTAGTCTACATTGGAGCCTTATGGTGATTTGTGTTTCCAATAACACAATCTAATACTTTGACAAGGCTCGTACATGGCCACCAAGGAAGTTGCTAGTGAATAACCTATTGAATAGGTACATACCGCTTCCTATTGTTTTATATCATCACCTACATCATTGAGTAGCCATGTTCATAAACTTATGCCTTTTTTTTGAAGTGTTATGAAGAAGTTGAATTGTCGTTCGGTTGCGGGTCCTACATGGAAATATTCGAAGGTAAAGCCTTGATATATTGATTTATTTAATAAAATTACCTTGAGTTATGGCTATGCATGACTAGTTTAACTTTGTGTCATGTTAGTGTGCGCAACAAGACAACGACGTTGATTGTGCCCTGTACGTGATGAGGTTTATGCTTGACATAGTCAATAGGTGCACTGAAGCCTAACACATTGAGAAGATACCTATTTTATTTTTTTTCCGTTCGATTTTGGATAAAATCCGTCCTAAAACTAAGTAGAATGATAATTTTCTATGATTTCAAACGTTAGACACCTAAGACTGGTTGTAATTGACATGTTATGATAAAGAAATAGCTCATTAGATAAGAAATGTAGAAATCGGGCAAAGTAGTAGTCAAATTGGCGATTTTGGGTAAAAGCCGTCCAAATACTTAGTAAAATGATCTTTTGATATGATTTTAAACATTAGAAACCTAAGACTAGATAATAATGACATGTTATGATAAAGAAATAGTTCATTAGATAAGAAATGTAGAAAGCGGGCAAAGTAGAAGTCAAATAAGCGATTTTGGGTAAAAGCCGTCCTAAAACTTAGTAGAATGCTAATTTGCTACGATTTCAAACATTAGACACCTAAGACTAGTTAATATTGACATGTTATGATAAAGAAATAGTTCATTAGATAGTAAATGTAGATTTCGGGCAAAGTAGAAGTCAAATAGGCGATTTTGGGTAAAAGCCGTCCTAAAACTTAGTAGAATGCTAATTTGCTATGATTTCAAACATTAGACACCTAATAATAGTTATAATTGACATGTTATGATAAAGAAATAGTTCATTAGATAAGAAATGTAGAAATCGGGCAAAGTAGAAGTCAAACAGGCAATTTTGGGTAAAAGCCGTCCTAAAACTTAGTAAAACTATCTTTTGATGTGATTACAGACCTTAGACACCCAAGACTAGTTAATATGGGTTTGCTCTGAGGACAAATTAATTCATTTGAAACAAAATGTAAAAAATGGGAAAATGAGTACCTGAGGCAACTACAGCACCCGAGGCAACTACAGCACCCGAGGCAACAGCCTCAGGTTATGCCAGGCAGCTGCAAGCTGCCACCAGGCCACTGCCCAGGCAGCTGCAGCTGCACCTGCAGCAGCAGCCTAGGCGAGTTGCATCAACCATGGGAAGTAGCCTGGGGATTAAGTTTTTGTCCTTGTCATTGGCACCTCATGCAATTTTGTGTATTTTTTGCGTAATTGTTAGTGAATAAGCTAAATAGGTCACTTACGCCGATTTTTGTTAAAAATCGTACTAAAACTTAGTTAGGTGCTCATTTTATGTGATATCATAAGTTACATGCCTATGAATAGGTAATATGGGCATTGTATGAGGAAAAAAAAGTTCAAACGAAATAAAATGTAAAAAATGGGCAAGTAGAAGTGGAATAGGCGATTTTGGGTAAAAGCCGTCCTAAAACTTAGTAAAATGACCTTTTGCTATGTTTTCAAACAATAGACACCTAAGACTATTTAATAATGACAAGTTATGATTGATAAATAGTTCATTAGATAAGAAATGTAAAAAATGGGCAAGTAGAAGTGGAATAGGCGATTTTGGGTAAAAGCCGTCCTAAAACTTAGTAGAATGCTAATTCGCTATGATTTTAAACATTAGACACCTAAGACTAAGTAATATTGACATGTTATGATAAAGAAATAGTTCATTAGATAAGAAATGTAGAAATCGGGCAAAGTAGAAGTGGAATAGGCGATTTTGGGTAAAAGCCGTCCTAAAACTTAGTAGAATGCTAATTCGCTATGATTTCAAACATTAGACACCTAAGACTAAGTAATATTGACATGTTATGATAAAGAAATAGTTCATTAAATAAGAAATGTAGAATTCGGGCAAAGTAGAAGTGGAATAGGCGATTTTGGGTAAAAGTCGTCCTAAAACTTAGTAAAATGATCTTTTGCTATGATTTCAAACAATAGACACCTAAGACTATTTAATAATGACAAGTTATGATAAATAAATAGTTCATTAGATAAGAAATGTAAAAAATGGGCAAGTAGAAGTGGAATAGGCGATTTTGGGTAAAAGACGTCCTAAAACTTAGTAGAATGCTAATTCGCTATGATTTTAAACATTAGACACCTAAGAATAAGTAATATTGACATGTTATGATAAAGAAATAGCTCATTACATAAGAAATGTAGAAATCGGGCAAAGTAGAAGTGGAATAGGCGATTTTGGGTAAAAGTCGTCCTAAAACTTAGTAGAATGCTAATTTTCTATGATTTCAAACAATAGACACCTAAGACTATTTAATACTGACAAGTTATGATAAATAAATAGTTCATTAGATAAGAAATGTAAAAAATGGGCAAGTAGAAGTGGAATAGGCGATTTTGGGTAAAAGTCGTCCTAAAACTTATTAGAATGCTAATTTGCTATGATTTCAAACATTAGACACCTAAGACTAAGTAATATTGACATTTTATGATGAAGAAATAGTTCATTAGATAAGAAATGTAGAAATCGGGCAAAGTAGAAGTGGAATAGGCGATTTTGGGTAAAAGTCGTCCTAAAACTTAGTAGAATGCTATTTGCTATGATTTCAAAAATTAGACACCTAAGACTAGTTATAATTGACATTTTATGATAAAGAAATAGTTCATTAGATAAGAAATATAGAAATCGGGCAAAGTAGAAGTCAAACAGGTGATTTTGGATAAAAGTGGTCCTAAAACTAAGAAGAATACTAATTTGCTATGGTTTGAAACATTAGAAACCTAAGACTAGTTAATATTGACATTTTATGATAAAGAAATAGTTCATTAGCTAAGAAATGTAGAAATTGGGCAAAGTAGAAGTCTAATAGGCGATTTTGGGTAAAAGTCGTCCTAAAACTTAGTAGAATACTAATTTGCTATGGTTTCAAACATTTGACACCTAGACTAGTTAATATTGTCATTTTATGATAAAGAAATAGTTCATTGGATAAGAAATGTAGAAATCGGGCAAAGTTGAAGTCAAATAGGCGATTTTGGGTAAAAGCCGTCCTAAAACTTAGTAGAATGCTAATTTGCTATGATTTCAAACATTAGACACCTAAGACTAGTTAATATTGACATGTTATGATAAAGAAATAGGTCATTAGATAAGAAGTGTAAAATTCGGGCAAAGTAGAAGTCAAATAGGGCTTATTTGGGAGATTTTGGATAAAAATTGTCCTATAAATTACAAAACCCTCTTTTGATGTGATTTGAAATCTTAGACACCTAATAGAGTGATGTAATATGAATATGAATGATGTTTGAAATATTTAAAATATACATTGTTATTTAATTAGTTTGAATTTTATATAATATATGAATGATGTTTAATGTTTGGTATGTTTTTTTCAAAGGTTTGTAATATTCAAAGGGAAGGCCCTTTAACAAGGGAAGTAATGTGTCTATTTTATATAGTATTTTAGCCCCATCCCTTAGTCATAATTAGTAGTGTTTTTGGCTTTTTCAAGCCACTTTTATCACAAATTTGTGTTTTCTAGTGTTTTCGCAGTTTTAGTTATATTTTACAGGAAATTGCACTTTTGGAGCATTTTCCCGGGCATTATGGATCAACTACAGAAGCTAGAAGGACACGACCACTTTTGAAGCCCAGGATCGGTGAGAACCGATGATTAAGGGCTCGGTATGAGACACCGAGGCTATTGGATCGTTTAATCAAGACCCGATGAGGAAATTTAAATTGGGCCGAGGACTCGAGCCCAAACGAAATCCGAGCCTCAAAGAAGAAGACCGGGCCCGATCGGGCAAGCTTGCGCCCGATCGGGCGGGCGTGCATAAGAGAGCACCAGCAAGAAGGCGCGCCCGATCAGGTGAGAGTTAGCTCGATCGGGCGCGGCTGCCCTGATGGATCCCGAAGGAAAAGGCGGGCCCGATCGGGCGTGTGTTTTCTCAAGACCTGATTAGTTAGTTTTAATTTTTGTTTTAGGAAACGTTAAAGTACGAGATTTGTACGTAATTTTGGATTACCCTTTTTCCTTAGACTTTCTCTCTCTACTT